GTTTGTGTACAAACTGCAAAAGCTGTAAAACCTGAGACACTTCTCCAGACGGAATTGTTACTGTGGGGTCCTGAATACAACTTTTCAGTCAGTTTTGCAAAGGAGCAAAATTTAGCTGGCTCAATGAAGTCTGTGAAATACGCATTTCCAGAAGTAATTTACTACTTAAATCACAAGCTGCTTATATAAATCAAAGTAAACTTAATCACGTGTGGCTTCACAATTTACAATACCAAGCATATGACTATGTTAACATTCCCAGCCTTTCCAGAGGTATGTTAAATTGACTTGTATTAGTTTACTATTGTTGGTAATAACGAAAACAGCCACCTGGTCCTTTAAAATGTTATGAGCCCTTTCCACTCCCTCAAAACACACAAGAGAAGTTCACACTGGCAGCCATCACTTCAAACACGTCACTTTCAAAGTAAACGAAACTTACAAAAAAGCAAACTGAAAGATAGTGAAATGCTTTTAAAACACCACTAGTGAAATGCAGAAACTTCTAGAAGCCATCAGCCTACAGGAACCAGGGAAGAAAAAAGTAAATTCCCAGAATCTTCTAGAAGGCTTTGAGATTTTCAACATTCAGACATGCAAAAAAGCATCTTTGCTTTCAAATCACAGCTGAAGTTAAGAGCAAGGCAAGTGCAAAGTAGCCTCTCTGCTTTTAAGTGTATTTAAAAGCTTCTAGAAGCTGGGAAAGCTGCCTGTGTCAAGTGTAAATCTGACCTGTATCAGAAAAGGATGCCAGTGTTTGGTTGCTATTTGGTCTGAAAGCGAAGCACTTCGCTATTAGGCACAGGGCTTAAGCTTTTAGAAGTGTTCAGGTTCATTAGAGAAGCGTATTTTTAAAACAATATTTTTGCCTTCTTTCAACTGCTCTGTTATTTTACTGTTACATACTGGGGGGGACACCGATTCTTGTTTTTACATGAGTTGAAAACAACCAGTAAATTAGACCCTCAGTGTAACAGTAGTATTTTAAAGAATATTTAGGTAACTTAATCCAAATAATTTTGAATGGTTGTAAGTATTTCCCTATTTTATTACAATTGCAACAATATTCAGCAAATGTCTAACAGCTTGTTAATTAAACTTAACGGATACTAATCATGAATTCAGGCCAAAAAAACAGTAACTAGGCAAATGGGTCACTGTCATATTTTCAATTGTAATATTCAACCTAATGAGTAGCTTAAAAAACTTTTTTTTTCATTTTTTCACTTACATGGGAGAAAGATTATGTATAATTTGATTAGCACCTCAAGTTTCATAAACATTCAACCAAAGTCTGTCAATGTGTTAAGTGGGTATAAAACTACAACTGGATAGTAGCAGATTAGTACTGTGTCATTTTATTTTTTTTTTTAAAAAACATGGCACAGATGCTAGACAATACCAGGTTGAACCAATAATAATTGTAGCAACAAGGCAAGAACAAAACCTCAACACACAATTAGTATCTTGAGAAGTTCTCACTATATATCACCCTGTTTGGGGTACAAGGTCAGATATAGGCAGGACAGTCATGGAGTTTGTAGATTATGTGAAAGAGATATGGTCACCTTCGACTAAGTATGTCCGCCTTCAGGATCCAACCTCTGCCAGGACTGAGTCATTCTATTTTCTACTGCACTTATTAAAATGCCTTTTTTTTCGGTTGTATAGTTAAACTAAAAACCTGCAAACTTTACCACATTTTCTATCTGATATTTAGAAGAGTAGATCTCAAAGAATGACTAATTAGCATTATGTTCCTCTTTAAACTTCTCAACACCTTTTCACACCAAAACATCAGCTGCAAGCGTACACAGCGCATCCCAGCAGCAGCCCCAACGTTTGTTCGCCTAATCACCAACCTTTTCACGAGCCAGAGAAGCACTTCGGAAACAAGCATGAAGTTTGGGGTACGGAAGTTCTCCATGGATATGAGTCGGGGATACCCCAGTGCCCTCATCATCTCTGTAAAATCTGAAAAACAAGGAAAAGCAGGGATTTCTTCTTACATACCCAACACCAAGCTGACCAAGAACCCCGGTTCTGACACTGTGCTGCCCGTTTACCATCAGATGTACCCTGTTCAAAAAAAGCCTGACTGGATTAACTGAAAAAAATTACACTATTTCACCAGAAGACATGCCTTAGTAAAAAGGCGACTTTTTAACAAGAGACTCACAATGTTAAAACAGCTTCTCTCTGCAAAGCGCACCATTTAAATGAAATTAACTACGGACTGTGGTGATCACCGCTACAGAGGCTGTGCTATTCCCCTCCTTGGCCTTTATTATGCCTTGGTAAAGTGCAGTGGCCCTGATTTAAAGAAAATAAATTCTTAATAAAATTCCGTAGCCCTCGCCCGAGTCACCGGTGAGGCCCCAAGTGCCCCTCAGCCCTGAGGAGAAGCGAGACCCGCCCGGCTACCAAGGCACCGGGGCTGCCCCGTAGGCCCCAACGAGCAGCGGCAGCCCCGGGGGAGG